ATTTTTTTTATAGTTCTCTTTTGAGTATTAAGTAGTCCTTCCTTATAAATAGCCCAGGTCGCATAAAAAAACAAACATGAGATAAAAAATTGGGTCCGGACTATTTTAAAATAATACCACCACTAGTAAAAAATAAACATAGCCTTAATCTTATACTCATGTAAGAATTCTCATCAAACTAAAATTATTCATTATTAAAAAAATTTAATAATTAAATATTTTATAATTTTTATCAAATTATAAATGCCCACAATTAAAAAATATCATAATTAACATTTAAATACAAAAATCAAAGAAAAATGCATGTAAAAAGCCTCTCTGCATAAAAGTCATGGTTGATTTTAGCAAACTTTGCTCAATTATGAGGAGTGTCTTCGAACACAACCTCCCTCCCCCCCCCCCCCCCCCCCCCCCAAACTGCCATTAGAAAGAAAACCAACTAATTTAATTTGAGAAAACACTCTGTCAAGTTTGAGCATATTGTAACAACTCTTCTCAACGATGAAAAATTGAGATACGCCTTATTTTCTCACTTAACCCACCCACCCCCCCCCCCCCTCTCCCTCCTCCTCCCAAAATAAGCGGAAAAAAAAGAAAATATGGGATGTGTCTTGGAAAACACCACTCAACTACATTAGTTTGAGAAATTCCCCTTAAGTTTGAATCTACCCCCCCCCCCCCCCCCCCCAAGTTTTGAAATTTTAAGAAATCATACTCTACGCGTAGAAAGCTAACATTGCTATGTCTAGTATGTCAGATGTCAAGTAGGTTACTAAGAAAAGACAAAGGGAAAGAGAGGAGAAAGAGCAAATAATTAAAAAACATTATAAATTGATCAAGATCTTTTATTTACAGATTGAGGATTTCTTTATATCTGAATTGGTTGATTTTCAAAAAGATATTTTAGTTATTTTTGAAATAATTCGGTGAGAAAATTGTGAAAGATAAGGGGGTTTTGTGAGACACTCCATAGTTGAGGGGGACACTTCGTAGTTGAGGGGGATTTCTCTAATTTCAAAGTTTAGTCGGATTATCTATAATATGCCCAAACTTGAGGGCAGGTTTCACAAATTAGAATAGTTAAGGGGTTTTTTTAAAGAAATCCACCATAGTTAAGGGAACTTTTCTAAAATTAACCCTAAAATCATATATGCAATTTGTTTCAAATTTTATTTAAAGTTGATCGATTAGTCTTTCTCTTAAAATATTATTGATGAATTGGTCAATTTTTTAATTTTTTAATTTGATATCATGTATTTACTGATTTTTATAAAAAGAGATTATTGATTTACCCTTGTCTTTTTTTAAAATATTAACAGAACATAAGACAATAAAAAATATAGATTATATAAAGATCTACAAAATTAGAAACTTTCCTATAATCAGAATATTCCTTGCAATCCATAAAAAAAATAAAAAATCATTTATACAAATTATTATCTTGAATTCCTCCTGGTTTATTTGATTATTCTAATAATTAGATTGAAATTACTAATGGGGTTTTAAGATTATTTTAGAAATAAATATTTATATTTTAAAATTATTTTATGGGTATTTTAAAATGACATATATCTTTCTAATTATGTTGAAATTCTATTTATTGCAAGCATCACAAGATTGAGATTCAAACATGAGATTGTGTTAGATTAAATCAATATGTAAAGACTTCATATCTCATCTAATTGTGAGTTTATTTGATTATTTCATGTTGCAGGGTTTAACCTAATATACTCTTTAGTTCATACCAAATCTCAAAAAAATAGTTTATAATAAAACATGAATGTAAGATGGTTATGCCAATTGACAAAGTCTACGTAGTTCCTACATTGAGGAGATATTTTCGGTGTTGTGATCACACAAAGAACAGCAATTTTTTTATCTACTTTTTTATTTTTAGATATTATAAAAAAAGGAGGGATATTACTAAGGAGGGTTTGATGGTTAAACTATCTAAATTTTGAGTTTTTGAAATTTTAAAATAAAAACTATTTACACACTCATTCATCAAGCCCACTTATTCCTTTTTTTCTTTTGATCTTAGAATATAATAAATGAAGAGGAATATTGTAGATGAGTAGTTGATGGTTAAACTAATACTGAAATTCAAATTTTAAAGTAAAAGTCATTCACCCCCTCACTTTGAATTTCATTTTTGTTTCAAACTATTTAAAGAAAAAACCTCAGCTCAAATTATCTAATTTTGATTATGTGCTATAATTCATTGTTATAAATCATTTATATGCTCATATCAATATAAAAATAGAGCAAAATGAAGTGAAAAATAGAAAAGAAGAAGCAATAGTTCAAAAAAAATCTGTTCAGTTCAATTTAAAGCTAGAGACCAAGCAAATCAGAAATAAAAAGAACCAAAACTCAGGCCTTCCAACCTAATAATGCGGGTTCACATAAACGCAATAACCAAGCATTTTATGCACGTCTGAAAAAATTGAAGATTCTAACATCCAACGACATCTGTAAAATGCATCAAATCATATTAAACAGAAGCTAACTGTACTATACATTAACGTATGCCATTGATACAACAAAGTGAGATACATCTCTATACATCATACAAAACTACATCATGAATGCTGAAATATGTTCTCTCATAGTAAAGATAAAATAACATTTTAGATGCTTAGCTTGGGTCGATAATCTGGAGTAGCAAATGGTTTTGTGAAATCATCGATACAAGCCATTCTAATTCTTTCGGGTGTTGCAGGATTATCGAGAGGGAACCAATCATGGTAACCTTCTTCTGCTCTTGCTGCTATTATTGCATCTTTAATAGCAAACAGGACTGCTGATGCCAAAAAGAATGGAGGCTCACCTACAGCCTTTGAAGAGTGAATTGCCTTTGGATTTGGAGCATTCTGGCAAAAAAAAAGAAACAATAAGGAAACAGAACTCGAATCAGAATACTTGTTCATATTATTGACATTGGAGTACCACTTATATACAGCTGAAAACCTATTGCGATGTAATACTTTCTGTACTCATTCCTCAAATAGTTGGCTAAATTATCAAATTATCGGTTTTCTTTTCTTTTCTTTTCTCCTTTTTCTTATACGTTAACAAGGACGCATAGAGACCAATTAAGGAAAATTTTATTCATTGGACTAGCTAGTAATAATTTGAGGCATCATTCGCCCCACGCTATCCACTTCAACAACAAAGAGGAGTTCCCCAGGAATCTTTTCAGTGAACAACTACCTCGATGGGGAGGGCCATCCTGTTTAGTAATTGTAAATTTTATATCAGATAACAATTTCCACAGCTTCAAAACTTAACTACCTGAAAGGACCTCAAGTTTCTCCAAATGCAAAAAGCATAGTTACACAACATATTTTTAACTTCAATCACCCTGTATTTTAGTTTTCTTGTCATCGAAATGGATTTTGTTATAAAAGTATTTAAAGGAATCCAGCAAACCAAATTGGAATAAACTAAGGTAACATGTCACATTAAAATTTTCCCAAAGAATTATGACTAAAATGTTTCTTAAATAGATGCTTTGACTACCCATGTTACTGATGAATTATAGTTCAGACATCGGCAGTATTTAAAAAGGGAATTGAGCACCAACATGCAAAGAAACAGGTTTACTGCAAATGATTGAAGAATATTGGTACCATCCAAAGAAAATAAAGTTATTGTTTTGATACCTTGAGAAGTGAAACCTTGAATTTGAGAGGTACATCATTCATAGAAGGAATTTTGTACGTGCCGGGTCCAGAAGTGTATAGGCTTCCATTCCTAATCCACTTATGATCTGGATCTCCCCATTTTAGCTCTTCCAAGGCAACCCAGCCTAAACCTTGAACAAAAGCTCCTTCAATCTGACAAGCAATAAGATAGTAAAAAATTAAATAATGTACATGTTCAGAAAATGTATTTTAAACCAAAATTTTGGTTTCAATGATCTTTCTTTCATGCCCGCGGCTGTAATCATATTTCTAAATATAGGAAATCTAGAAGATGAGAGGTGGGCTGGGCGTAAGATCTACAGGGGTGAAATAAGTGGGGCCACAAAGGGAGAAATCAGATCTTAAACAGTACTTCATAAAAGAGGTATAGGCAGTGCACACAGCTGAAACTGACGTCTACATACCAATTTCAATGGCATTGACAATGAGGGGGGGAAATTACCATATTCATCACTGTAATGTTTCTTCGATTATATAATACACATGCCTGAAAACTTCCAGCAAAGTGAAAAAAAAAAGTTGCTAGGAGAGCAATGCCTAACACCAAGAATAGGAAAATCACATCTTTTTAAAGGGAATAAGCATAATATATAAATACTATTCTAATCAGACAACTTCCACAGGTTTCTAATCAGACAACTTCTACAGGTTTCTAATCAAACAACTTCCACAGTCTGCAGGAACATGGCCCATGTCAGTTATGCCCCAACAATCTTCCTTGGGATAGCTATTATTCATGCATTTCTACCTTCCATGTTATTCTTCATACCAAACTCATTTATTTTTTAGATGACTTAATCTTAAAAATAGTTAGATAGGTATTTCTTTTCATTATTTTATTTTTCTTTTTGTTTCAAATGAAAAATGATATTGATTAGTGTTCATTTGGAATCGGTATTTATCAAATCTTAGCATTACCATAATATGTGTGCAACAATTTTAATATTGAGTCCCGTACATCGCACCGGGAATAACCAGGTTAGGAAGCTAATCAGAGTGAATTTGTGCATGGTACAAGGGATAAGATGGTAGAGGCAGCTGCCACTAGGATTAGAGATGCAATAAAACATAGTTGCTTCAACAATTAACAAAGGAGATAGACAATTGATAACATAACTGAGGGAAAACTCTTAAGAAGGGTGGCAAAGATCATCAATTTAGCCTGAGCAGAAGAATTGGAATACATGTTTTTGCTCTCTTGTCATACTATTCAGACTCAGAACAGATGGTTAACAGAAGAGTAGCCCCATGCTCTATACTTGTAAAACAAGTTCTACTTTGAGTTTTGAAAGTCACAAATATTAACATATTAAGAGCAGCAAGCTTTCCAATTAATATAATAGAAAACATCAAGTTGCTAAGTAATCAAGACTTAAACAGATGATGTTAAAAAAAATGGAAAATGTCAGAAAATTTCATTCAACCACTTTAAAGTACTCGAAAGTCGAAGAATGTTACAAAAAAATGAAGCAGACCAATAACTCAACTATAATGCTAGGAGTAAAGGTACACCAACACCTACCAACAAGAATGAATCTTTTATCCCCAACTTTACATGAACCCTTACTCTTCCATTTAGTTCTGCTAAGTGTCTGTCTCCTCCATGGAATTAACCATTATTGCATCCTCCTTAATTGTTTCCCACCTCTGTAATTGTAATAAATTATGGAAAACAGCCTTAATTAGCCATTTATCACTTTACATCTACAATGTTTTTTTAGCATGTACACCTTTCCCTGTGAATCTTTGCAATGTTGTTAATGTTGCACTTTGTGAATTATGATTTTCACCTAATCTTCTCCTCTATCTTCTCCCTTATTTTCCAGACTCTGCTCAACAATCCTTCCCTTCTCTTCACTGTCCTCAATCTCCTTCGTCAAGCAAAACACAAAGTAAAACCCAAATCTAAGCCTTTCTCTATAACTAAACAAAAACTAAAATGCCTCTTCATTTTCCGTTTTCTCTTTCCTATTCCTCTTGTTCTCTCTGCTAAACCCAAACCATCCTCTATTTCTATGTTAGAATATAAATCAATGACCCTCAACTATCACCATTACTTTAGAGTTTTAGTGTAGTTGCAGGGTCATTAACATGGAACCAAAGCAACCCAGTTCGAATCCCACTGGCCACTTAGTTTAATGCGAATTTAAAAAATAAAAAAAAAAATTGATACCGCTGCGTGTCTAGGTTTCAACCCATAAATGGGTGCTCAACCTGTAAAGACATGTTAGAATATAGAACAATAAACCTCAACTCTTACCATAACCTTAGAACATAGTTGCATGGAACGCGGTTCATTCCGGTTCATGGGACGGATATAGAAGCGTGGTACGCCACTCATTAAGAATCGGGTATCAGGGAGGTAAGCTTATACGGTACGCAAGGGTACGTTGTTCGCTTTAGGTTCGGTTCTTAAACGTAGGAATTAAAGTTTTTGCAAGAGTTAAATTTAAGAAATGTGCTAGTAGATATTAGTAGTGGTAAAAGAACCTTAAAAATCATATTGCAATAAGGTATGCATACTTTATTTGCTGAATTTCTTGCATTTTTGTTGTTCTGTATTAAAAGAGATTTTTTTTTTAATTTTAACTGGTTTGAATTTTAAATTGGGTCGCTAGAGTTGGTGAATCCGGTCATGTTCCATCCGAATCTGGGACGATTTAACCTAGACCGTGGTTTGTTATAGAGTCCCAAGATCCCAACTTCTATGCTTTAGAGTTTTGGTGTAGTGGGTCGTTAATATTCTCTCTTCTACCTTGAGACCAAGACTCCCCACCTCTTCTCCCTAATGATCAAGCCCAACCTAGACAGATCTTCCTTCTCCTTCTCCTCTTCCTTCTCATTCTCAATACCAAGCCTGAAGTAAACTTAAACATGCTTCCTCTCTCCTCCAGTTCACAAATCTAGTCCAAACTGAGACCCTTTCCTTCATCCCTTTATATTCCCTCTCTCATACTCCTTCCTCTCTTCCTTCCTCTTTTCGCTTATCCCTGATTACAAAAATCTGGTCATGGTTAAATTTGGGTTTTTTTTTCTAGTTCACAGAAATTAAATACTTTATCCAACTAAATTGGATATTTTCAGTAAGTAAACATTAAAATAACAATAACGTCATAATACCTGTCCAACATCTATAGCTGGATTAAGAGAATGTCCAAGGTCCATAACGATATCTGCTTTCCTTGTGTGGAAATCTCCGGTCAAAATGTCCACCTCGACTTCGGCAAATGCTGCTCCATATGTGAAGTAGCTAAATGGTAATCCTTTACCAACTTTCCAGTCAAATCCAATATCAGGTGTGATGTAGAATCCATGAGCTGAAAGGTCTATCCGCTCCATAAAGCATGTGCGCACCAACTAATGATTAGGAAAGAAAACAACACCAAACTTTAGCTCCAGTAGAGGTGAATTAAAACAATTTATGTAAGTTTGCAAATGCAAAAGAAAGATTAAGATAAAAACATATTAATGTCGTGATAAATTCGTACAAAACCATTATTCAAAAGAAATAGAAAACTAACGCCTTGAACAGGAAAACCTAGTGAGATTCACCAGGGAAAATCACATTTCCACTAACAAAATGAATAATCCATATCCTGTAACTATATTTTCATATCAGTATCTTACACATCGCAATGAGAATTTTGCAAACACATCCACAAAATTACAGCACTACATCTATCCCTTCCATGACCATGCTATATCCCCAGTGGGTTCATGATGACGCTTGCAGAGCTGTGTCCCTCATAGCTGTAATAATCTCGAGAATATGCCTATTTTGCAACTATCTTGCTACACAAATGTACTCATCTCCAGTAAAGTTTGGATAGTGCTCCCAACTTTCATTTCAAAAGAATCACCAGATTACTATTGTGACTATCATCATTTGGGACCTAAGTTGCACGGAACTGGTATGGATAATGGTACGGGAGCGGGTACGGGTACGGGACATGGCAAACTTGTAAGATGCAGGACATTGGGACATGACTAGATATATGTGTTGAAATTAATAATTTACACGAGATTATTATTGATTTCACATTTTAAGTTTCTTTTATTAGGTTGATTTTATAAATTGGAAAATTCTCATTATTGAACTAGACACTCAAACGATCATTTTAAATTGTAGCTTTGAACTTGTGTATGGGTTGAAATAAGCCTGACTCGTGTCTAACAAGTTTCAAGAAATGGATATTAAGTGTAGGATATACGTCCAAAAAATGGATGACAAGTGTTTTAAATTAAAACATATATCATATACTTGAGTACATGTCTGAATAAATGTACGCATATATCCAAGGAGTGTCCGTGAAGTTTTGGTATAGATACGTATCAGGTACATGTCGGGTTCGGGTATGGGTTCATGATAGAAGTACCCGCATAACGTAGTTTGGGACAAACTAGATAATATCGTGAATAGAAAAGCCATGTTTCCATTATTACACTGACATGCTCACCATAACCGTGTCTAACCTAAATTGTATCCTATTTTTCCTTGAGTTGAACTTTTACCTACTAGTCAGTTGCTATTTCTTGTTATGGTAGTTGTTTGGGAAACATCACCATCATTTCAAGTTTCAACACTGAGTGAAATGCAACCTGGCTCACACTGTTAGATATAGGTACCCTGCATGCAATAATTGTATATTGTAACAGGACCTATATGAATATAATATCCTTGTTCAAAATGATAGTATGCTATTTTGGTCAGATTTATCTGGTATTTTAATACAAATAAAGTCCTTAGAATGATACTAGACTATCAGACATTTCGGATATGATCGTAATGAAGAGATCTGATTTGTCGCTAACGTATATTCTAAAATATTCCTAGTCGATGAAGTGTTGAAATGGGACACCATCACTTTGGGAAGATTAGTGTATACTCTATTCCTCCTTTGGTAGGATGATGATCCATCTCTTAGATCATTGATGTGATACATCAAGATATAGTATACAGGTGACTCATTAGTGAATGAGTTGACTAAACGACTCACTGAGAACATCTAGTTGGTAATTATACTTAACTGTCAAATAAAAGTTCTCAAGTGATATAGTACATAGTAGTCTCTTGACCTGAGGCACTGTCAAATAAAAGTTCTCAAGTGATATAGTACATAGTAGTCTCTTGACCTGAGGCATGAGTGTAATATGTTACATGTCGGTATAAGTGTATTTAGACTTTTACCTAACCACAGTTCTCATTGAGTTATGCATAACGGTTCTTGTTGGGTGAATCCTGAGACATAAGTAGATATTGAGATGCCAAGATGGGATTCGTCTCTCCCAGTATAAGGGGTTGATGTCATAAGATTGTTTGATATAACTATAGCCAGAAAATCCTTGACCGAGGTAAATAAGATAAACTGCATGTCAGTTTGATCTTATAGGTTATGAGTTTAATATCAACAAACACTAATCGAGCTATTAGGTTTGACAGTTTTCCATGCCCTAGGCTCGATAGTTTGACATTGTTTGATGAAGAGACCGGACTGTACAATATTATCACTGAGTGGTCCTGATAAAATTATGTTAGCATCTTACAGACATTTATCATAACTTATATCTGGATAGTCTTTATGTGTAGCTAACACCTCTGTTGTACTTGTGGATATCATCCACTACCGAGTTCTTAAGTTGGGCCCTAGAGTCACACCAAGCGCGTACTTGAATCCTATGAAACATAATTTATAAAGTAATACGTATGATTGATACACATATATGATTTTACCGGATACACATAAACGGTTATGTATATCGGTAAAATCGGAATGCTATGTGTTTAGGAAAGAAATTCCAGTATTTTTTCCATAAAGTACTTTTAGTCAACTAGTTACCTTTTTGATCAATAGTTGACTTTTGGTCAACTCATTGACTTTTTGGTCATATGATGACTTATTAGTCAATAATTGAAAAATTACGAAATACCGTATTTATGAATACCATATTGATGTAGTATTTTTATTTATGAAAATACATACTTTATTATACTTTGATTAATGAGTCATGAGATGAGTCATTAAGGTGGTATGGTTTGGAAACATGGTTTTAGCACATAGTTTTGATTCTTCATGACTATTTGCATGATTCATGAGATGAGTCATTGCATGACTCATGAAAGGAATCATTATATTTAGATGACTCATGGCATGACTCATGAGATGAGTCATGACATATCTCACTCTATATATATGAGCTCTCTCTTATGAAAAGATTAATGAAAAATTGGCTAAGTGATTTTTTCCATAAGAGAATAAAAAAGAGAGCTCTACCTCTTACTAAACTCTAGCAATCTTTGAGTAAGAGGAAATAGTAAGATTTTAAAGTACCCCGGGGTGGATATCTTACATTGTGCCTCAAGAAGACTCCGATTTTATCAAGCTCACTTGAAGACTTGGAGATCCACTATAAGAAGGTTTACAACAACAAGGAGCAAGAGCTAGGGGTTGTTCGATCTTCCACCGAATCACGCTTCGAAAGTATGACTTTCTAATTCTTGTATGCTCTCTTTAATATAGGGATCATGTTAGATTTAATTAGGATGGTCCTAGCTTGTTTTTCATGCTCTCTACATGTTTAGTATTATTATACATAGTCTTCCGTTGCGTATTTTGCATGTATTTAGCACGAATTTCCAACACATGCATCATACCTTCACTGAAGAAAAGTGAAAAGGAAGATGAAATGGATCATATATGCTAATTATGTGCCATCTAAAGGATTGTATTCACTAAAACGTGCTATATCCAATAATAATGTATGTTTCATCATGTTCTAATTGGAAAATCCAAAAATGTTCAGATCTTACCATAGCATAACTTTTGGATTCCCACTGTCTATAAATAAAATTAAGAAATAAATCAGTAAAATGCAATTTCCTTTTGATAGCATAATTATATACTCAAATAAAAACTCAAGGATTGATTTGTGTAGGAGAACCTATGAATAAGATTGAACTGTAGGAAAGAACATATTGATAAAGCTTCATTGATATGCATAATGATTCACGCTTTTTACCACCGCACACATAATTGGAGGAAAGGGTACAAGGAAAATATGTGGCTGAGAAGCTGGGATAGTGGTGGGTGACTCCATGGAAATAATGGAAACAATACCTCAGAAAAAGAAGCAAGATTATGTCTGCTGGCTATAGGTTTCATGCGTGCCTTAATTTGTTCACAAGCATCTAAAACTGCTGCACCATACATGTCAGAGCTTGCAGAAGCTGCAGTTGGTGACGAATTTGGTACCTGCAGTAGTAAAAGGAATCAATAGAAGTCCGGCACAGATAAGCTTTTTGTTATCATGGCTTGTAGGGAACATACGATCTAAATAAGAAAGGTCAAGGAAATATCTACTTACCTTATCTGTACTTGTCTCTGATATAAATACAGAACTAAGAGGAATATCAAAAGATGAGGCTGCAATTTGTGCAATTTTGGTGTGTAAGCCTTGTCCCATTTCAACACCTCCATGTGTCACTAGAACAGTCCCATCAAGATAAACTTGTACAAGAGCACCAGCCTATAGCCATAAGGATATTTGTCAGTGGCATGAACATGAGGCACAAGGAAATCATGTTGCACTTTTGACTGTGAGAATAAAATCATTATGGCCACAAAAAAGCAAGAAAAAAAAACAGCTAAAGTCCGAACTATTTAAGCTTCAAAATATAGCCCAGTTCACCTGGTTCATGTGTTTTGTGGTGAAGGAGATGCCAAATTTGGTCGGGATCATTGCAACTCCACGCTTTCTCCAGCGATTTTGGTGGTTAAAGTGGTCGACAGTTTCACGACACTTTGGGAAATCACAGGACGATCTTAGTTCACCCCACACCTGACTCAACGTACAATTTTTTATTTTCTGCCCATAGTGCAGAATATGTCCTTCATGGTGAAAGTTGATCTCCTGGTTATCAAGTCCACAAATAGAAAATGAGATATTATGAATATTATAATAAATATAAGAATCTTTATAATTCAAAGTCATGCATGATAAAAATAAAAAAAAGACTACCCGTATCTTTTCAGGGCTTTTCTGCAGCTCCATTGCAACTCTTTGGACCCAATTTTCAGCAATTAGCATTCCCTGAGGACCACCAAATCCCCGGAAAGCCGTGTTACTTGGAAAATTTGTGAAGCAGACTTGCCCTTTAACCCTGATATTTGGTATTGCATAAGCATTATCCGAATGAAACATGGCACGCTCAAGGACCGATGAGGACAGGTCCAACGAATTTCCACCATTGTTAAATAACTCCAGATCCAATGCCATAATTTCTCCAGAATTCCTGAATCCAACCTGGTACGAGTCCAAAATTTTCCAACGTTAATGAATATAAGCTTCATACTACATCCATGAGGTGAAAATTAATGCGCCAAGAGTTTAAGGTCATCTTATTATTTTTGTAAACTAATAAGGTATAAACTATGTTCTTTTACAAAGGGAATAAATAAGCAACTGTTACTTAATAATGTTGCAGCCATATAATGTTTAAATCAATAAAACATAAGTTGAATCATGAAAGAAATAGGTCTCTGTGATTAAGGGTATGAGAGGACATCCAGGAACTTCCAAAGTTGATCATCTTCATGACTCGAGTGGTTCTGATGCCGATATGTCCCAAAAGAACTAAGGTGAAGCGGAGTGTGCCAGATTGGATTTCAAAAACATTATAAATATTGAAAATCAAGGAATAAGCATTCTCAACTTTGAATATCATGTATTCAGTGGTTCAAGGTTGTATACATCAAGCCTTCCAACAGGGTGGAAAGCTAAAAAAAATGTTGAGGAAGAAAAATAATAGACACATGTAAACACAGAGGATACATATAGGTTTTACATGTTTCTACCACAAGTCTAAATATGTGGATGCTCCAACATTTACCTCAAAAATATACCAACTGTATACAAGTTGAACTTTAGTCTACATTGTCAGTTAAGTACCTTGTATCTCCCAAGGAAACTGTGACGCTGCCCTGTTATCATCATGTCTATGTCCCTGTCTAAGGTAATTTTCACCGGTTGCTTCAGAAGATACGATGGTACACAAGCTGCTGCAGCAATGAAGGCAGATCTTGTTTCTTTTCCACCAAACCCACCACCAATGCGTTTAGTTTTACAAACTACTTTAGAGAATGGCAAATCAAGAACTCGTGCAACAGTTTCCTGGTGCTTCTGGGGGGCCTGCACAATAAGGAAAAGGAATAATGTCATTACAAATGAAAGTGGGTTCCGCCTAGAGTCCATGCAATTAAAACAGAAAAAAAATCTGCGAAAGTACTTCCCAGATATATGGAAACATAGTAAAGTGAACTCTCCAAACATATAATATCAGTTGTAGCTATAATAAGGAATTTTACAGTGAAGAAAAGTGAAGAAAAATGCATTGCAGATGTAGGACAAAAAGCTATGTAGGATCGCAAAGTCACTGTTTCTGATTGGGCCGAAATTCGCACAGCTAAAGCGAAATGGGCCAACGAGCAAGACTCATATCTTCGCCATGAGATCCACTGTTTTTTGGGCATTTGAGATCATTTAGGGCCTCAAATTTGCAGTTTACTGTTTTATTATTTTCTGTTGGGTAATTTAGTAATTTTGTTTTAAACTTCTTTTAGGACTTTAGGGTTTTCCTTTAAATACTTTGTAATTTTGCATTGTCATCATCTTTAGAATTGAATAAATTTCTCTTGAATAAATTTTATCTTTGAAAAAGTCCTCGGGGTAAAGCTTTCTTGGAAGAAATCCTTGTGGTAAGGCTTCTTTGTTTTCATTGCTGCGTTAGTTGGCATCAAAGCAGGTTCGTCCTGCGCAATGGCTAAGAACAACAATGATCCTAATATTATATTCCTCCAAACACTCTAATTGATGAAATAGCAGATGTAACAATAACTAAAATAATCACGACAACAACATGAGTTGATGATGGAAGCGCTTCAGGACTTGCACATTGAGAATAACCCTAGGGAACAGGCTGTTCCCCTGGCTGGAGGACCTGTTGGAGGCGGAGCTAATCCTCACGATCCGCCGACTAGGGTTGGTTTGGATTCAGATTTAGAAGGGGAGGAAGATTTCGCTTTTGGTCAGAACAATGTTCAGTTTCTTGCTCCTAGTTAGTACAATGATCGGTTTTCGAAGATCAAGGTTGATCTCCATTTCTTTAGCGGAAATATAGACGTGGAGGATTTTCTAAATTGGCTTGCTGAGGTCGATAAATATTTTGACTTAATGAGAATTGCTGATAATTTAAAGGTTAAGTATGTGGCCTATAAATTACGTAGTGGAGCTTCTGCTTGGTGGGAGCAATTTCAAAACAATCGCAAGCGCCAAGGAAAGCAACATGTTTTGCACTTGGAGACGTATAAGGGAGGCGCGATGTCTACGATTTCTTCCGACAGATTATGATCAAATCCTTTATCAGAAGTTTGAGGATTGCAAGCATGAGGATCGAACAGTCCAACAGTATACCCAGGAGTTTTATAGAATATCGACGCGAAACAATTTGAGCAAAACAGAGAGACAACAGATTACTAGGTTTATGGGTGGACTTCGCACCGCGATCAAGGATCAAGTGCAGTTGACGACTGTATATAGTGTGGACGAAGCAATTAATCGTTCCATGAAGGTGAAAGTGCAACTCACCTGATCTAACAGACATCAATCTGATTACAGGAGATTTGATGAATCATCGAGGTCAAAATACAAGGTATAAGCAGATTGATAACCAGAAGGTCATTCAAAAGGCTGCAGATGATAAGATGGACTTAGCAAAGAAAGGGAATCAGAATTTCTAGAACCAGCCGCCAAGAGGAGTTCAGCAGAATCGACAGAATAATAATCCATACGCTTGAACTCATGAGACTAAATGCTATCGTTGCGGGCATCTATCAAATAATTGTTCTAACTGTGGTAGAGTTAATACAGTTGAAAGGGAGGACGGCGAGAAAGGTGAGCTTGAAACTGAGGTCGAACACCATATAGTTAATCCTGATAATGTGTATGACGATGAAGAGCGCGAGGTGCGTGTAATGCGCAGATTGATGTTGGCAACAAAAAGGGTGGCTAAGGACCCACAAAGGCATAATCTTTTCCGAAGTCGTTGCAAAATGAACTAGCACGAGATTGAGTTAATAATTGATAGTGGTAGTCAAGAGAACTTGATTTTTAAGAAGCAATAGATAGGCTAAAGTTGACTAAAGTTGAATGTGCAGAAGCACCCTTCCCCTTAAAAAGACAGCTGGATTAAATCTGTGAGTGATATCAAGGTCAGCGAACAGAGCATAGTCAATTTTTCTATTAGTAGATGTTGGAGATATTGATATTGTGACTATTTTCTAGGGATCCTAATATTGTAAGTATGGTGTATATTTAGGTTTCCTATTTTTAGATGATTTGATATTAATTTCCTTCTTTAAGAAGGAAACAAATTCCTTAGATTAAGCAGATTGATACTGCCTAACGTGTATATATATATTAGGACTGTTTTGTACAGAATAAGGAAGTGAATAAAATCCTAAAATTCACATGGTATCAGAGCTTTGTTTCTGAAAACCTTCAACCCTAATTCATACTGCTTTTCCGACAGTAACCATATATCTCTTATAGCTTTTTCCGGTAGTATCTTCTCCCATCCATCATGACAACTCCTTCCAAACCTACCAGTTCTGATGCAACCTCAGATGAGATATCTAGCCTTGAAACAGCAGTCCTTGGCGACAATGGGGGGGATCCTCCGAACTTTCCTCACATGTCTATTACTTCATACAAGCTCAACGGTCGAAACTATCTTCAGCGGTCCCAATCGGTGCTCTTGTATATCTGCAGTAGAGAGAAGGAGGGTTATCTCACCAATGAAGTCACCAAACCGGAGGAGACGGCAGATGAATATCGAACTTGGAAGAAGGAGAATAGCCAGGTAATGTCTTGGCTGATAAACTCCATGATGCCTAACATTGGAGAAAATTTTTTTCTACTTGAAACAGCAGCAGAGGTATGGGAGACATCAAAGGAAACTTACTCCCACAAAGATAATACTCCTGAACTTGTAACAATCGAAGATGCGTTGCATAATTTGAGGCAGGGTGATCTCTCAGTGACAGATTATTACAACAAGCTTCAACGATACTGGCAACAACTTGATGCATTTGAGAAATACAAGTGGAGCACTGCTGATGATTTACAACAATATAAGAAGATTATTGAGACAAAAAGGGTGTACAAGTTTTGTTTGGGATTAAATTCAAATCTTGATGCTGTGAGGAGTAGGATTTTTGGGACAAAACCACTGCCTAATCTTCGAGAGGCATTTTCTGAAATCAGACATGAAGAGAGTCGCAGAACCTTGATGCTAGGGGCTAAATCTAAAGAACCAAAGGAAGCGGGAGGTGAGGCTTCAGCCGTGGCAGCACGCAGTACTTCAGAGGCACGAAAAGGCGGCCGGTCATGGTGTGATCACTGTCGAAAACCTAGCCATATCAAGGACAAGTGCTAGAAAATTTATGGAAAACCGACGGATTGGAAACCAGCCAAGGAACGAGATAGCAAAGCCAATCTACCATCCTCTTCTGTGGCTGAACCATTCAACAAGGAACAATTGGAAGTACTGCAGAAACTCATTGCTCAGGGACAGACCAGCCAAATGATAATAGGTTCAGGGACGATTGCACAAAAAGGTAATTTTCTTACTGCACTAGCTACAAATCAAGGCACATCTCATTCATGGATTGTGGATTCCGGAGCATCGGATCACATGACTGGTAATAGAAAACTTTTCAATCAGTTTTCAGCTTATAGCAATAGTCCTCATGTACGAATAGCGGATGGATCCTTGTCTAAAGTAATGGGGATTGGTTCCGTAATTATTTCTGCCGATTTTGTACGAATAGCGGATGGATCCTTGTCTAAAGTAATGGGGATTGGTTCCGTAATTATTTCTGCCGATTTGACTTTAAATTCAGTCTTGTATGTGCCTAAGCTAACCTGCAATCTCTTATCAGTAAGTAAACTCACTAAGGATTTGAATTGTGCGGCTGATTTTCGATCAAATGCTTGTGTTTTTCAGGATTTGCACTCGGGGAAGATGATTGGCAGTGCTAAAGGCTGTGCAGGACTCTATTTTCTAGAAGTTCAACCCTCTCCAATAAGTAAAGCATCAACAACAGTGAGTAGTAGTTCTTATGTCAACAGTGTTAGCAAAAATGAGTCTGTTAGAGTGTCTAGTCCAAGTCAGGATGTTATGTTATGGCACTATAGACTAGGTCATCCAAACTTTATGTATCTTGCTAAGTTGTTTCCATCGTTGTTCAGTAATAAAAGTCCTAGTGATTTCCAATGTAATATTTGTCAATTCTCTAAACATTTTCGTACCAGTTTTCCAAATCAGTTTTATAAGTCAACCAAGCCATTCTCTATGGTGCATAGTGATGTTTGGGGACCATCACAAACTCCTAATATCACTAATGCTCGGTGGTTTGTTTCATTTATTGATGATCATACTCGACTCACATGGATATTTCTCATGAAACACAAATCTGAGGTCTCTCAAATTTTCAAAAACTTTAATATCATGATTCAAACCCCATTTAATTCTAAAATTCAGATTTTAAGAACTAACAATGATAAGGAGTTCTTTAATTCTACTCTTAGCAATTACTTTTTGAGTGAGGGTATCATTCACCAAAGCTCATGTGTTGATACCCCACAACAAAATGGAATTGCTGAGCGAAAGAATAGACATATCCTTGAAGTTGCCCGATCTTTGTTATTTTCTACAAACATGCCAAAACGATTTTGGGGTGACGCTGTTCTTACAGCAGCCTATCTGATAAATAGGCTCCCTTCCAAAGTTCTGAATTTTTTCACTCAAACTCAAAAACTTCTTGAAGTTTATCCTCACTGTCACCTCATATCTAATTTACCACAAAAAAAATTTGGGTGTACTGTTTTTATCCATCTTCACAAACACACAAGAGGTAAATTGGATAAGAGGTCTGTTCGTGGTGTGTTTCTCGGTTATTCTTCACATCACAAAAGTTATAAGTGTTTTTGCCCTGAAAATAACAAGTTTTATCACAGCTTGGATGTCACTTTCTTTGAGACAACTCCATATTTCAATAAAACTGCTCTTAAGGGGGAGAATTTAGGTGAATATCAGTTTTTGGGATCTGAAAGACCTACTTTGACTTCATCTTCAACACTTGAGAGTTTGGATGATGTGTTTTTGACTCCTTATGATATTGAATTTCTTGACAGCCCTAGTGTCAGTCTAAAACAGCCTCCTCAACCTAGTCAACCAAAATCAGACTTGTTAGATCATCCTAGTGTTGTTCAATCTAATCAGACTGATCATGATAACAACTTATCCCCTTTTGTTAGTGAGCCTAAGAAACCTACAGTTACTGCTGATGATCAAAACATAATTATTTATCAAATGAGACGGGGAAGACAGAAGGAAACAGAGGTTCAGACACAACCTATACCACTTCAAACATCTGAACCTGAGTCCAAGTCTCATGAAACTCATACACAGGCTGAAGATAAAAATTCTTCTAACAGTACAGATTCTGAGAGTGCACAAACTGATGATGATTTGCCTATTGCAATTCGAAAAGGGGTCAGAGACTGCAGGAGTAGGCCGTTATATCCTGTTAGCAAGTATGTCAGTTATGATGGGCTGTCTCAAGGGTATAGGTCTTTTATTGTAAAAATCTCAGACATACACATTCTCAATAGCGTGCAAGAAGCATTGTCAGTAGAAGAATGAAAAAAGACTGTAGAAGAAGAATTGAAAGCCCTAGAAAAGAACCAAACCTGGGAACTATGTGATTTGCCGAGTGGAAAGAAGCCAGTTGGTTGCAAATGGGTCTTCACTGTGAAAACCAAAGCTGATGGCAGCATTGAGAGGTTTAAAGCAAGATTGGTTGCTAAAGGGTTCACTCAATCATATGGCATTGACTATCTGAAAACTTTTGCACCTGTGGTAAAGTTGAATTCTATCCGGGTTCTACTATCTCTAGCAGCAAATCTTGACTGGCCAATCTACCAACTAGATGTCAAGAATACATTTTTGAACGGCAATCTAGAAGAAGAGGTGTATATGGAGGTTCCTCCTGGGACTGAAAATGATGCTAATAGAGGAAAGGTGTGCAGGTTGAAGAGATCGTTGTATGGTCTCAAACAATCTCCAAGAGCATGGTTTAAGAAATTTTCTAAGGTGCTAAAACAGCATGGGTACACTCAAGGTCAGGCAGATCACACAATGTTCATAAAACATTCTTCTGTTGGTAAGATGACAGTATTAATAGTCTATGTGGATGATATTGTACTCACAGGGGACTATGAAGAGGAAATACCCAAAATTAAAAAGGTTCTCACAAAAGAGTTCGAGATCAAAGATCTAGGAAACATAAAGTACTTCCTTGGGATGGAGATAGCTAGGTCAAAGAAAGGAATTTTTGTCTCACAAAGAAAGTATGTGTTAGACCTACTGAAAGACACTGCCATGCTTAACTGCAAACCAACTGACACACCAATGGACTCTACTACTAAATTTGGGTCAATTCAAGAAAGTTCTCCTATTGAAAAGGGGAGATATCAAAGACTTGTAAGGAAGTTGATCTTTCTCATACAAGACCTGATATTGCCTTCTCGGTGAGTTTAGTAAGTCAGTACATGAATAATCCTACTGAGGAACACATGACAGCGGTTCAAAGGATTCTGAGATACCTAAAAATGACACCTGGTAAGGGGCTGTTTTTCAAGAAAAATGCAGCGAGAGGAGTTGAAGTATACTCAGATGCAGATTGGGCCGGATCTATAACTGATAGAAGATCTACCTCAGGGTTGTGTACTTATGTCTGGAGTAATTTAACAACTTGGAGGAGTAAAAAGCAATCAGTTGTGGCGAGAAGTAGTGTTGAGGCTGAGTTTAGAGCCATGGCTCAAGGGATTTGTGAAGGAATATGGCTGAAACGATTGCTAGTTGAGTTAAAGGTTCCTATAGATGGTTCAATCAAGCTACTAAGTGATAGCCAACCAGCAATAAGCATT